TTGTGTCCTTTGCCTTTGTTGTCTTTACTGTAGTTATGGCCGTAGTTTCCTTTTCCTGTGTTGCCCCATCTCTCCTTGAAGGGCCGTTGTGGTGTTCCTTTGCCTTTTCCTTTGTAGTTGCCTTTTCCCTTTCCTCGATGTTCTTTGTAGCCTCCTTTCCTTGCAGTTTCCTTTCTCCCACAGGTTGTCAACGTGGTTGCTGCCAACGGCTGATGACGTAGTTGCATTCATCTTGGAAAATGCCGAGATGGTCGTGTAGTACTTGATCACCACATCAAGCTCGTAGTTGAAGATGTTGTTGGAGTGCTCCTTTCGTCTCATTGAGTAGTACTGCAATCTTTACTCCATCTGGTAGTGCTGCTCCGTTGTCGCGCTCATACCTGTTGAGGTCATATTCCCATTGTAGAAACTGCTCTTCAAACTGTCGTTCGCTGAATGAAGGTCTCAGTCGTTCAATCAAGTAGCCAACACTTCTTGTGCCAGGCTGAACTGGCTGTTGAAACACTGCACTGTTTCGCAACCATTGGCTTTGTAGCGGTTTTGTCTTACGAGCAGCAGATGTAGCTACAAACACAGTGGTAGACCAACACTGATCAATGAGGTACTACCTGACACTGCAAGAGGCAACAAGCTCGTCAACCTTGCGCGCGTTCTACACTACATCCTCATCAGCATCTGTCAAGGCCCAGTTCGTTGTCAATGAGTCCCAAGTAGGCTTGTAGCTTGAATCTCCTTTCATCGTAGTTGGAGTAGTCACCACTGAAGTATGGTGGTGGTAGGTTGTACTTGTGTAGTCTCTGCACATTGCTTTCTGCCTGTGCTGCTGCTGTTGTTGCACCTGCTGTTCCTGTAGTTTGTGCTGGTGGTATGCCTGCTGATTCTGCCTGTTGATCTCCTGCTGTCATGTCGTAGTAGTTGGGCATACTGGGGTGCTACTGTAGTCGTTACTACTGGAGCTCCCCTTTGGGTAGGATCTCAGCTCCGCTACCACGCTTGAGTGCAAGTGCAAATGCTGTGTAGGTGTTGTCACAAACAAATGTAATCTGCCGCAGCAGCGGTAGTGAGGCTCAAGGCCTGCAGTATGTATCAACTACCAGTATAGCGCACATGCAACTGTATCATGCGGTCACTGGTGTGAATGTATTGAACACCTCATGACACTGGCAAGGACCCCAGGTTCAATATTGACATCCTGATAGGCCAAACCCTGTGCAAACGCCGATGTGTGGTTGCTTGGTGTGATGTGAATGTATTGAATACCTCCATTTTGCCCTCGTGACACTGGTAAGGACCCCGTGTTCACTATCGACATCGTGATAGGCCACCGAATGTTTATTGACACAGATGTGTATATATATATATATATATGAACACATGCGTTTGTACACAGCTTCCTGCAAGGGTTTCCTTTTGCTACTCGTGCGAACCCTCTGCGCAACAGAAAATGCAACTCCACTTTCAAAAGCAAAACATAGTCCAAATGCACCCTTCCCCCCCGCCACGTGCGCTGCTTCGTGTACGATGGGCTCACGTAAAGCACGGCGCACGCCGACGAACGTAATTACATCCCCACACCCCCATCCCCCCCCAAAACGCTGCGTCACGTAAAGCACGGCACGTGCCGACGAACGCAATTACATCATCACCCCCCCGCCATCCAATCGCTGACAACCCCACGGCCGTCTATGTGCCGCGGACCAACTACATTGGGGGCATCAACGAGTCACACCTCACAGTTGGACACATCAGACAAACAGATTCAGCACCATGCAAGCACAAATCCAAACCACTACTTGGAAAGAAAGCATCACATTCAACATCATGAAACGACTTTCAACAATTCCTACAAGAGGATACAACACAACTGCGCTTCGATAAAGCAGCAGCAACACAAAAGCAAAGACACAAAGAAAATTGATAACAACATCACACACTACATCATGTACTCCAACCTCAAGTCAGACCACCACCTGCTGGCTGCGTCGGGAGCATCTTCACACGTTTGCCCAAAGGGCTATGCACCGGATCTACCACTACGACCTCGTGGAGAATCAGTTCCGCAACTCTACACTGCTACCAACCAGAAGATCCCTGTCTTTGGCATCAAGTATGTCCCCACAAGCAGGACAACTTCAGGATCATGATTCCCTACTACTTGTGTGACGTGAAGTATCCTATCCTCAGTGCATCAAGACAACAATGCACCATCACTCACGGACAACAACAGGCACACCTCATCAGACAGTCAGGGCTTTCTACTTGCGAGCAAAAAAGGTCGACATTCCGACAGGACACGGCATCTACCCAATGAGTACAGACAATGGAAAATGGAAAATCCATTGCTGTGATGCAACCTACAGAGGAATCAACCAAAGCACCGCAACCACTACGACAAAGGATCAACGCAGTACCACTGTCCGACGGAACATCCGTCACCCCCTACAAGAACGACGACACCTAGAAGACCAACCCAGATTCTTTAAGAACGACGATTATGATGAAACACAACTACTGGAAGGAATGAAACACGAACCAAAATGAGACTACATGATGTCTACGACAAAGTAGATGCGCCGACCGCCGGCGACAACGTCATCAAAGAAGGAAGGACGAGGCGTACGAAGCAGAATCGTCGCAAAAGGCTACACCGAGAAGATCGAGAACGAAGACTCCGTCTACCCTTCGGCACCGATGACTCCTCGCACTAAAGATATCACGACCAAACTGGGTAGCACGACTAGGCGACGGCCACTCAAAGAACTTGGTCCACACCGGAACAAACTATGGCGACTAAAGAAAATTATAACTGTTCATCTCACCTGAAGCATAGCAGGACTACCTGGCTGAAGACGAAAGCTTGGCTTTGTAAGACTAAAGTCATAACCTAACGTCTGCACCAATGCAGCTCGTGACTGCTACACATCATGGCCTACTTTGGCGACAGACTCCATCTTCGAGGCAATGCAGGAGCAGGTATTACCCAAGCACATTGGCTACCTCGAACCTGGCAAACCACAACAATTTCTAGGACAGGACTTGCCCAATACAAACCAACAATAGAGTGAATCACTACTTGTGACCAAGAACAACACAAAAGGTACAGAAGACTGGTCAAAATGTTGGTTCCCAGTTTTGTAGCGTAAATCGCCATTCCATCGGGCCATATGAACACGCACCCATTGCGGCACAATAGGATACGGAAACGTGACAGGCGCACTAGCGCAGGCCTTTTCTTGGCTGCTGTCGGATGAGCTATCCGAGCTTGTAGAGCTGCTGCTATAGGCTATTTAAACACACAAGAAATCCCAATGTCCTGCACCACATCTTCAGCAAGTAACAAAACGGAGTTGGGCATGTCTTACTCAGCCTGACTTACAACTGAAGCCTCAAAACATGCAAGTGGCTTGTTGGGTAGCGCCTCCAACAAGGCACGTGCCCCTGTGTTCAAGTTGGCACCTGCCTGCTAGCGCGGCGCTAGCACGGAGCTAGCGCGGAGCTAGCGCGAAAAAACTGCCTATGATTGCCTATGTTTTCAGATTTTGCGCAGGGCCACGTGCAGATTTCGTGGGAGACGCAGCACTTTCGTGTTGCGAGCAAGGAATGCCTCGTCTGAGAGCGAACGGACAGACGGGCCATGCGTGCGCAGCTCACATGCCGCGTCAACTAATGTCCCCGACCTAGCGCCGAGATAGCTGCCAATGGGATTTGCACGATTTATGCGCGGGCCCGCTTCATTTCGAATAGGAAAAACAAGATGCAGCGGGAATTATGCACATACTGCATATAGCTCCTTAGCCGGCCTTTTTGAACGGAAGCCTGTTGGCAAACTACAATGGACAAACATTGCCTACGCAGCCTCACGAGACTTCACAGCGCTTGTAGAACTCTCGCAGAAAAGAGTCAAGCACTTATTACGCTACCTGCGCGGCACCAAACACTACAAACTCACCATAGGACCAACATCAACACGAAGAGCAAACACCAACAACATCCTGGATCTCGACGTTCATGTCGACACTGACTGGGCAGGATGCCCTACTACCAGGAAACCAACTTCAGGTGTCAACATCATCTTTCTTGAAACAACAATTGCATGTGGCGGAAGGACACAGGCAACAATCGCACTCAGTTCAGCAGAATCTGAGCTCTACGCGGAGTTCATGAGGAACTCACGTCAGAAACTTCACACTTGAAACGAACACTTTATACATGACCGCAAGCCTTGAGCTTTACTACATCCATGGGCCCATGCAAAATAGGAGCTGCGCAGACTACAGATTTGTTTGTGTTAACAACATTACAGCGCTTGCACTTGTAGTAAACAACACTCTGACTTCAACGTCTGGTCAGCCAAGAAATCACTGCAAGCAAGCACCGCTGCATGGGCGCAGACTGCGCAAGTTTACTTTTCAAGGGCTTGATTGAAGCGCAACAGTGTGCATGTCGCCGTGATTGCCAGCGGCCTAAAGCTCGACCGGCCTAAACTTTTCCCGTGAGAGCGGATGGTCACTAAACAGTTGCGTGTTGGCCGAATTGTCCGACAATCGATTGAATGTTTGCGAGCCGCAAACCAGAACAGTCACAACAAATAGCTGACGCTGATGGCGTGTTCTTAACTGCCGTCTGCTAGCTGGACGGCGCATGTGAATGGCAAGGTTTGCCCGTCGCATTTCCTGTGCCAGCACGTGCCAACGATTACTGGCTTGTGCTTGATTACTTGCATTCTTGCACCCAAACAGGCGCATTTGCAGCCCTCTCGGCCCTCCCGGCTGCCTGCCTTCACTCCACTCCGTCTCGCGCCGCATCACAAAAATCCACAAGTGCACACTTTGCAAAAACTATAGCTAAACAAATCAGCCAAACTTCTATAGCCAAACCTACGGCCAAGCCTACAGCCTTCTATAGCCTTCTACAGCCTTCTTGGAGCGACGGGAAATTGAGAGCACATGCGCACGCACGCAAGTGCACAAGTTACAGTTGTGAATTGCTGGAAGTTGGTCCTCTTCAAACATCTCCTTCTTCGTCACTGGATCCAAAAGCGGACGTCCCGTGGTCTCGTCTCGGAGCCTCAAGAAAACAAGAATCGATATTGAAAAAACGCTCAAACCTTTTTGAGGCGAGGCTCTGGGGCAAGGCGCTATGGCTCTGAGGTTCTGATGCTCTGGGGCAAGGCTTTGATGCTCTTTTGAGGCAAGGCTCTGGGGCGAGGCGCCAAGGCTCTGAGGTTATGATGGTCTGAAGCAAGGCTTTGCTCTGGGGCGAGGCGCTGAGGCTCTGAGGTTCTGCTCTGGGCAAGGCGAGGCTCTGGGCAAGGCGAGGCTCTGGGGAGGCGCTAAGGCTCTTCAGGTTCTGATGATCTGGAACAGGCGACGCTAGGCTTTGATGCTCTTTTCTCCCAAACAGTGTGTCTACACTAAGAATTTCTTACCCCAAGAGAAAAGGCCTTGGTGCCAGATTGAGGTGCCCGCTCTGTCCGCGAGCGTTTTTGCGTGGTATTTACCGCAGATTCGTGCTCTTGCTTGATGTCGAAGTGCGTTTCGACTGCGCAGGCTCGCACAAAGTGAGGTGTCGACTTCTGTCCGCGAGCGTTTTGCGTGGTATGTGCCGCAGATTCGTGCTCTTGCTTGATGTCGAAGTGCGTTTCGACTGCGCAGGCTCGCACAAAGTGAGGTGTCGACTTCTGTCCGCGAGCGTTTTGCGTGGTATGTACCGCAGATTCGTGCTCTTGCTTGATGTCGAAGTGCGTTTCGAGTGCGCAGGCTCGCACAAAGTGAGGTGTCGACTTCTGTCCGCAAGCGTTTCGCGTGGTATGTACCGCAGATTCGTGCTTTTGCTTGATGTTGAAATGTGTTTCGACTGCGCAGGCTCGCAGAAAGTGCCACGAGCGTTTCGCGTGGTATTTACCGCAGATTCTTGCTTTTGCTTGATGTTGAAGTCGATTTCTTTGCTTTCGTGGCGGCTCCAGGGACCGTGGGGGTTTTGTCTCGTGGTCCGGCGGCACGGGTTTCCGGCGAAAGGTCCCGGGCTCGATTCCCGCCCTGTGCGCGCGAGCTTGTTTCCCTTTCTTTGGGCATGCTTGGATGGTGCTTCTGTGCTGCGACGGCTTCTCGATGGTAACAACAACCAAACAGCAACAGCAACAGCAACAGCAACAGCGCCACATTCATAGAAAGAAAGAAAGAAAGACAGAGACAAAACAACGAGAACCAAGGAAGAAGCTACATAGCTAGCTAACTCACTAACTCAGGCACCCTGTTGAAACAAACACACAGATCTTGCCTTTTGTAGTGATGCTTGCGCAGCCATGGGCGCAATAATCTTGGCGACGCTGCTGGAAGCCGCGCCTGCCGATGCGCGCGCGGAATTCGAGCATCTCGGGTCATGTGTCTTGGGAGACCTTGCGGCTGCGCAGGCGGGTGCATTGTTGGAAGGTTTATCTTCGGATCGACAGGGCTTATGGACGGCGTGCAAGAACGCAGGGATTAGCCGGAAAAAAGGTGGGAGAAGTTTGCAGCAGGAAGAGCTTCGGGCGCTGGCGAAGGACAAGCTTCTCGCCGTGCTGCCGGCGGTTTCATTTCAGGCTCTTCTGGACTACGCCGTGCCTGGCGAGATGGGGAGGGAACTGGAAGAGTACGGAGAGGTCCTCGTGGCGGCGCAGGAAGCGGCCAGAGTGACAGAGCTCCTGTGCATTGGGAGCGGGTGCAGATGAGCTCAGGAAGAGCAGTGTGTGGGGGATCGCAATACGAAATGCCAGTGGCAGAACACGCGCAGCGCAAAGTGTGCGCTCCGAGTGGCGCGGCGCCTGCATTTGATTTCTGAAAGAAACGCCAGTCAGCGACGCTTCGGGTGGGGCGGACTGCGTCTGCGGCTGCGCGCGCGGGTGAGGGCATAAGCCCGAGCAGTTCCGGCGCGTTGGTGGAGCAAAGCGTGCAGGGTACCTTGGCGATGCTGCTGGAAGCCGCCTGCCGATGTGCGCGCGGAATTCGAGCATCTCGGGTCATGTGTCTTGGCAGGCCTTGCGGCTGCGCAGGCGGGTGCTTTGTTGGAAATCGACAGGGCTTATGGACGGCGTGCAAGAACGCAGGGATTAGCCGGAAACAAGGTGGGAGAAGATTGCAGCAGGAAGAGCTTCGGGCGCTGGCGAAGGACAAGCTTCTCGCCGTGCTGCCGGCGGTTTCATTTCAGGCTCTTCTGGACTACGCCGTGCCTGGCGAGATGGGGAGGGAACTGGAAGAGTACGGAGAGGTCCTCGTGGCGGCGCAGGAAGCGGCCAGAGTGACAGAGCTCCTGTGCATTGGGAGCGGGTGCAGATGGGCTCAGGAAAGTGAGCAGTGTGTGGGGGATCGCAATACGAAATGCCAGTGGCGGAACACGCGCAGCGCAAAGTGTGCGCTCCGAGTTGCGCGGCGCCTGCGTTCGATTTCTGAAAGAAACGCCAGTCAGCGACGCTTCGGGTGGGGCGGAGCAGGGCATGACTGCGTCTGCGGTTGCGCGTGCGGGTGAGGGCACAAGCCCGAGCAGTTCCGGCGCGTTGGTGGAGCAAAGCGTGCAGGTTACCTTGGCGATGCTGCTGGAAGCCGCGCCTGCCGATGTGCGCGCGGAATTCAAGCATCTCGGGTCATGTGTCTTGGGAGACCTTGCGGCTGCGCAGGCGGGTGCTTTGTTGGAAGGTTTTTTTCGGATCGACAGGGCTTATGGACGGCGTGCGGGACTGCAGGGATTAGCCGGAAACAAGGTGGGAGAAGTTTGCAGGAAGAGCTTCGGGCGCTGGTGAAGGACAAGCTTCTCGCCCTGCTGCCGGCGGTTTCATTGCAGGCTCTTCTGGACTACGCCGTGCCTGGCGAGATGGGGAGGGAACTGGAAGAGTACGGAGAGGTCCTCGTGGCGGCGCAGGAGGCGGCCAGAGTGACAGAGCTCCTTCGCGCGTTGGGAGCGGGTGCAGATGAGCTCAGGAATGTGAGCCGTGTGTGGGGGATCGCAATACGAAATGCCAGTGGCAGACCGCGCGCAGTGCAAAGTGTGCGCTCCGAGTTACGCGGCGCCTGCATTCGATTTCTGAAAGAAACGCCGGTTAGCGACGCCTTGGGTGACGCGGAGCAGGGCATGACTGCGTCTGCGGCTGCGCGCGCGGCAGCGGACGTAAACCCGAGCAGTTCCGGCGCGTTGGTGGAGCAACGCGTGCAGGTTGCCGCTGGCCGGGCTTTGTCGGACAGCGACCTCGGTACTTTGGCGGAGGCTGTCGTGTGGCTGCAGCAGAATCGCGTCGTGCTGCGCAAGACTCTGCATGCAGGAACTGTGAGCAAGAAGGAACAAGTTCCTTCGATGTTACTTGCAGGCTGCAAAGAAAGACGGAAGTACCAGAAGCGGGTGGTGCGTCCATCATCCGCGTTTGCGACACTGGAAGCGCGTCGTGGAGCTCTAGAGCGTTTCCGGAGGTTCCTGCAGTTGGACCCGCAGTGCTGGTGCGCCGTGCGCAATTTTTGTCGAGAAGATCCGGAAACGCTTCTTCGAAGTCCACAAACAGCACAAGCTTTCGCAGGTAGCCTGAAAGATGTCCAGCAAAGGAAGTGTACGCCTTTTGCGCAAGATTTCCGGCACGTGCGTATTCCGCCCGCATCACTGGGATGGTCAGCATGTCCTGCGGCGTTTGGCGGGCATGGAGTTGGAGCATGCGGTTGTGGTTGCACGGCGGATTGAGTTGCCGTTGCTGGATGGACCTTTGGTGGCGGAGGTGATGCGAGCGCGATGTCAAACTGATGCTAAAAGATATGTGGGGAGTGTCGACACCTTGGTGAATGCTCTGGAATCTGCACGGAACAGTATGCCGGACCAAGCAGCGTGGATTGAAATGTGACCGCCGCCCTATCTCTGTTTGGGGTCTCGTGCCGGAAAATTGAGGCGAGGCTCTGGGGCAAGGCGCTAAGGCTCTGAGGTTCTGATGGCTCTGGGGCAAGGCGCTAAGTCTGAGGTTTTGCTCTTTTGAGGTGAGGCTCTAAGGTTCTGGAGGCTGAGGCAAGGCTTTGATGCTCTTTTGAGGCAGAGGTTCTGATGCCCTGGGGCAAGGCTTTGATGCTCTTTTGAGGCGAGGAGGTTCTGATGCTCTGGGGCAAGGCTTTGATGCTCTTTTGAGGTGGGGCTCTGAGGCGAGGCGCTAAGCTTCTGAGGTTCTGATGCTCTGGGGCAAGGCTCTTTTGAGGTGAGGCTCTGGGGCGAGGCGCTAAGCTTCTGAGGTTCTGATGCTCTGGGCAAGGCTTGGATGCTCTTTTGAGGTGAGGCTCTGGGGCGAGGCGCTAAGCTTCTGAGGTTCTGATGGTCTGGGGCAAGGCTTTGATGCTCTTTTGAGGTGAGGCTCTGGGGCGAGGCGCTAAGCTTCTGAGGTTCTGATGCTCTGGGGCAAGGCTTTGATGCTCTTTTCAGGTGAGGCTCTGGGGCGAGGCGCTAAGCTTCTGAGGTTCTGATGCTCTGGGGCAAGGCTTTGACGCTCTTTTGAGGTGAGGATGTGGGGCGAGGCGCTAAGCTTCTGAAGTTCTGATGCTCTGGGGCAAGGCTTTGATGCTCTTTTGAGGTGAGGCTCTGGGCCGAGGCGCTAAGCTTCTGAGGTTGATGATGCTCTGGGGCAAGGCTTTGATGCTCTTTTGAGGTGAGGCTCTGGGGCAAGGCGCTAAGCTTCTGAGGTTCTGATGCTCTGGGGCAAGGCTTTGATGCTCTTTTGAGGTGAGGCTCTGGGGCGAGGCTTTGATGCTCTTTTGAGGTGAGGCTCTGGGGCGAGCTGGGGCGAGGCGCTAAGCTTCTGAGGTTCTGATGCTCTGGGGCAAGGCTTTGATGCTCTTTTGAGGTGAGGGGCTCTGGGGCGAGGCGCTAAGCTTCTGACGTTCTGATGCTCTGGGGCAAGGCTTTGATGCTCTTTTGAGGTGAGGCTCTGGGGCGAGGCGCTAAGCTTCTGAGGTTCTGATGCTCTGGGGCAAGGCTTTGATGCTCTTTTGAGGTGAGGCTCTGGGGCGAGGCGCTAAGCTTTTGAGGTTCTGATGCTCTGGCAAGGCTTTGATGCTCTTTTGAGGTGAGGGCAAGGCTTTGATGCTCTTTTGAGGTGAGGCTTTGGGGCGAGGCGCTAAGCTTCTGAGGTTCTGATGCTCTGGGGCAAGGCTTTGATGCTCTTTTGAGGTGAGGCTCTGGGGCGAGACGCTAAGCTTCTGAGGTTCTGACGCTCTGGGCAAGGCTTTGATGCTCTTTTGAGGTGAGGCTCTGAAACGAGGCGCTAAGCTTCTGAGGTTCTGATGCTCTAGGTTCTGATGCTCTGTGGGGCAAGGCTTGATGCTCTTTTGAGGTGAGGCCCTGCAACGAGCTAAGCAGGCGCTAAGCTTCTGAGGTTCTGATGCTCTGGGGCAAGCTTTGATGCTCTTTTGAGGTGATGCTCTGGGGCGAGGCGCTAAGCTTCTGAGGCTCTGATGGTCTGGGGCAAGGCTTTGATGCTCTTTTGAGGTGAGGCTCTGGGGCGAAACGCTAAGCTTCTGAGGTTCTGATGCTCTGGGGCAAGGCTTTGATGCTCTTTTGAGGTGAGGCTCTGGGGCGAGGCGCTAGGCTTCTGAGATTCTGATGGTCTGGGGCAAGGCTTTGATGCTCTTTTGAGTGAGGCTCTGGGGCGAGGCGCTAAGCTTCTGAGGTTCTGATGCTCTTTTGAGGTGAGGCTCTGGGGCGAGGCGCTAAGCTTCTGAGGTTCTGATGGTCTGGGGCAAGGCTTTGATGCTCTTTTGGGGCGAGCTGGGGCGAGGCGCTAAGCTTCTGAGGTCTGATGGTCTGGGGCAAGGCTTTGATGCTCTTTTGAGGTGCTTCTGAGGTTCTGATGGGCTGGAGGCGTTGATGCGGCTCTGGGGCGAGGCGCTAAGCTTCTGAGGTTCTGATGCTCTGAAACAGGGCTTTGATGCTCTTTTGAGGTGAGGCTCTGGGGCGAGGCGCTAAGCTTCTGAGGTTCTGATGCTCTGGGGCAAGGCTTTGATGCTCTTTTGAGGTGAGGCCTGGGCGAGGCGCTAAGCTCCTGAGGATTCTGATGCTCTGGGGCAAGGCTTTGATCCTCTTTTGAGGTGAGGCGCTGGGGCGAGGCGCTAAGCGTCTGAGGTTCTGATGCTCTGGGGGCAAGGCTTTGATCTCTTTTGAGGTGAAGGCTCTGAGCGAAAGGCGCTAAGCTTCTGAGGTTCAGATCTCTGGTGGGGCAAGGCTTTGATGCTCTTTTGAATGTGAGGCTCTTGGGCGAGCGCTAAGCTTCTGAGGTCTGATGCTACTGTGGGGCAAAGCTTTTGAATGCTCTTTTGAGGTGAGGCTCTGGGGCGAGGCGCTAAGCTTCTGAGGTTCTGATGCTCTGAAACAGGGCTTTGATGCTCTTTTGAGGTGAGGCTCTGGGGCGAGGCGCTAAGCTTCTGAGGTTCTGATGCTCTGTGGCAAGGCTTTGATGCTCTTTTGAGGTGAGGCTCTGGGGCGAGGCGCTAAGCTTCTGAGGTTCTGATGCTCTGGGGCAAGGCTTTGATGCTCTTTTGAGGTGAGGCTCTGGGGCGAGGCGCTAAGCTTCTGAGGGTCTGATGCTCTGGGGCAAGGCTTTGATGCTCTTTTGAGGTGAGGCTCTGGGGCGAGGCGCTAAGCTTCTGAGGTTCTGATGCTCTGGGGCAAGGCTTTGATGCTCTTTTGAGGTGAGGCTCTGGCGAGGCCGCTACTGCTTCTAAGGTCTGATGCTCTCGGGGCACAGGCTTTGATGCAGCTTTTGAGGTGAGGCCCTGGGGCGAGGCGCTCTAAGCTCTCTTCTGGTTCGATGCGCTGGGGCAAGGCTTTGATGCTCTTTTGAGGTGTGGCTCTGGGGCGAGGCGCTAAGCTTCTGAGGTTCTGATGCTCTGGGGCAAGGCTTTGATGCTCTTTTGAGGTGAGGCTCTGGGGCGAGGCGCTAAGCTTCTGAGGTTCTGATGCTCTGGGGCAAGGCTTTGATGCTCTGGGGCGAGGCGCTAAGCTTCTGAGGTTCTGATGCTCTGGGGCAAGGCTTTGATGCTCTTTTGAGGTGAGGCTCTGGGGCGAGGCGCTAAGCTTTTGAGGTTCTGATGGTCTGGGGCAAGGCTTTGATGCTCTTTTGAGGTGAGGCTCTGGGGCGAGGCGCTAAGCTTTTGAGGTTCTGATGCTCTGGGGCAAGGCTTTGATGCTCTTTTGAGGTGAGGCTCTGGGGCAAGGCGCTAAGCTTTTGAGGTTCTGATGCTCTGGGGCAAGGCTTTGATGCTCTTTTGAGGTGAGGCTCTGGGGCGAGGCGCTAAGCTTTTGAGGTTCTGAGGGCCAGGCTTGCAGCGGAAGCGGAGCACTTCGATGGCCGGGAACGGGGCCTCGAGACCTCTGTGACTCAGTGACTCAGCGACGCGTGTCGAGTCAAGGCGACGTGTGTCGAGTCAAGGCAGGCGAGTCAAGACATGCTTTAGTAGTTAAGACGTGCTTCACTTCAAAAGAACAAGAACAACGCGAAGTGGCGAAATCAGTGAACATCAGCCTCTTAAATTGTATGACATTGCCTTGAAAATGTGACACTTGCTGGCAATGAAATCACTTCAATGAATCCCGAAGTCTGAACAAAAATGCAAAATGCGATCGGAGACAAAACTGCATCTCTGTAATTAGTCTCTCTTACTGTGCGATCGGCATTCTCGACGAAGGCTTGCCACATGGCAAACGCACCGTATACCTCACACCGAGGCAGCCACGCCAAGGTGCCCCGTAGATGTTCTGCTCTTCCAGCGTCCGGCGCACTGGGCGCACCTGGCGCGTGTTGCCATGCTTCAGAGGAATCGCTCGGACGGTGTCTTTTATTATTATTCTTATAGCTTTATTATTATTGTTGTTATTACTTATATGTTCGCTGCAGTTGTGTTGAGTGTTTTGTCCCCGACGTTTTCGGCCTGGTTCACAGAATCTGCGATCAGCTTGCCGTCCGCAAATACCTTTGCCGCTTTCTGACTGTCTCGAGACCCGGCTGCCAAAAAATGCCGAGGAGCATTCCGCATCTTCCGCTGCGAGAACCGTAACTCCAGGGGGTCCATCTGTGTGATGGCCTCGTGACTCAGTGCGCCAGTGACGGGAACACTGGAACAGCACACTGCCAAATCTATGCTCTGACAGTCTGACAGTCTGAGTCAGCGACCCTTTCGCTGTCCTCGCTCTCGACTTCCCCTTAAAAAAAATCAGCAAAGGACGCACCAGTTGGCGGGCCGGCCTTCGTATTCGCACTCGTCCCAGCTTGCCATGAGTCTGAAAAGCTTAGAGGTCAAGTCGAATGCACTCTTCAGCCTCTTCGGGCAACTCTGCGTTTCGCAAAAAACAAAAATGATCCATATGGTCCATATGTTCCATATGGGCCATATGGCAAGTGGCAATTCGCGTCCCACATGAATCCCTTGCTCGGTCCGGGAAGCGAAGCGAAGTGGCTTCACTGCTTCACGCTCTGGGCCAATGCCTTGGTGGGTGCCTCGCGCTTTTTGTTCAGCGCGCCGCAGCCGATGACGATGAAAAAGCGTGGCTCGCGTGGCCGGCGCCTCTTGCGCCCGAGCGCCCCGAGCGCCCAGCTGCCGCTTGTGCCGCTTGTGCCGCCTGTCGCCGTGTGGCGGCCTTAGCCTTTCGCCGCTTGCGAATCCAGGCAGTGATGGCCGCCGAATGCTCCGCCTCCCCGTGCTGGTTCAGAGCCTCTGGCTCCGAGAAGCGGCAAGGACAGTACCAGCAGGCCAAGTGCCCGGATCCGTCCACAGACCCGTGCAAACAAAAGCCCTGAGATCTGAGATGCTTACAGCAATGCCTTTGCCTTTCCTCGGTCCGTGCATGTGCTGCTTTCACTGTCAAGACTCTTCCTTTTGCCTTGGGCCTCGGTGCAAGTGTCGCACTCGACCCTGCGAAGCTCAGAACCCGAGCAAAACAAAAGAAGGGAAGGGCAACGAGCAGCGCAGAAGCCGTAGCAAAGGTCGCCGGGGCCTCAAAGTCCCAAGGCTCCCAAGCCTCCCAATCTTCCCAGTCGTCCCGAAACACACTGCACACCGGAAAGGCCCGGTTCATTGCCGTCAGCTCATAGACACCAATCCAGCACAGAACGACTTCGCCGACGGCATCTCCCTCGGAGCGCGCGGCATAGCGCAAAAAGCGCCGGAAGCGACATGTCTCAAAATATCAAGGTAAAAATGAAAATCAACGGAAAACTAACGACCCCGCACCTTGGCTGAGTCCTCACTCTCCGTCTCCCACAGCTCTTGGCCATCCATCTCTAAAACGGCAACGGGCTTCTGCCGAGGCCATGCAATCCATGTGCTGTCCACGTGCTATCCATGTGCGTCAACTGCGAAATGTGTTCGCACACACCATCTCTCATCCGAAGCGGGTCGATTCCTACGCTCAGCGCACGAAGAACCTGGCACGGCGCATTCTAAATCGGAATCCCAGAAAGCGTTCATTTGTCGAGCAAAGGAGCCCTTTCACCCATGTCATATGTGCCTTGCCCTTGCCATGCGCTACGCAACGGATTTGATCCCCCTTTCAAAGCTCTCAATCACAGGAATGCTCTTGGGAATCAGGCCTTGAGCGCGGCAAGCGCACAGGGCAGTTTGGGTTTTGCGCGTGCCTTTGACAGAGGTGCATTCGCCTCGCCTCGCCGCCATCTTGAAACTTGCAATGCTCTCATAATTGTCATATCGCGTCGTCTCAGGTGTAGGTTGCGGGGTCGATGGTGGGGGGGATGGGCTGGATCTCGGTGCCCAGCTCCTTCTCAATGCGGTAGAGGTTGAAGCGGTCATCGTAGGTCACAAAGTTGATCCCCAAGCCTAAGTGGCCAAAGCGACCCGAGCGACCGATGCGGTGCAAGTATGTCTCAGAGTTCTTGGGGAAGTCAAAGTTGATCACCACGTTCACGGACTGGATGTCGATGCCGCGGGTGAAAAGGTCGGAGGACACCAAACACCTGCAAGCTCCATTCCTAAAGTCATGGAAGACTCGATTTCTGTGGGACTGGTACATGCGGGAGTGGATGAAGAAGCACGAGTAGCCTAGCTCTGTGATCTTCTTCGCCAAGAGCTCCACGCGGGTAACAGAGTTGCAGAAAATGATGGCTTGGTTGATCTGCAACTTGGAGAACAGCGTGTTCAGGCAGTGAACCTTCTGACGCTCCTCCACAAAGGCGTAGAATTGCGAGACGCCTCTCAGGGTCAGCTCTTCCATCAAATTGATCTCGTGCGCGTCGGCCATAAACCGGTTTTTGAAGTCCAAGATGGTGATGGGAAAAGTTGCGGAGTACATCAGGATCTGCCTGTCAGGCGGCAGAAACTTGATAAGGTCTTCAATGATCGGCTGGAATTCGGGGCACAGGAGCTTGTCGGCTTCATCCATGGCAACCATGTGACATTGCTTCAGGTTGCAAACGTTCTTGTTTGCAAGGTCAAGCACGCGGCCAGGCGTGGCCACTACAATGTGAACCTCGTTGTAGAGCCGCATAATGTCCTCTCGAAGGCTTGTTCCGCCTGTTGAGACCATGCATTGGACGTTCATGTGCTTGCCTATCTCTTTCACCACTGAAGATGTCTGCAGAGCCAACTCCCTGGTCGGGACGAGGATCAGCCCCTGGATGGCATTCTTCGTGGTGTTGCACTTCTCGAGGATGGGGATCACAAAGGCCCCTGTTTTCCCAGTGCCATTCTTTGCTCTAGCAAGAATGGATTTGCCCGCCAAGGCAACCGGCAGGCTTTCTTCCTGGATCGGGGAAGGCTTCTCATAGCCCATTTCGAAGATACCCATCAGCAGCTCGCGCTTCCTCGGACCGTCACGCCCGTCGGCCCAGTCGGATCCAGTCGGGCCGACTCACATTCCACACATGCATGCCCATGCATGCATATCCATGCCCATGCCCATTTCCCTACGCATGCGCGGCATCAATACAGCCTAAGGCACAGGAAGTAGTCCTCAAAATCATTTCCCTTCGTGTTTGTGACATCCTCTGTCTTGAATCGTTGGTCTGGAGGAGGTCGCCGGATCTGGGCTTTCCAGTCCTTTGTTCGCAACATTTCGCAACCGCTCAACTTGTGATGATATTCGTCTGGGGGCATCGAGCAACACCTTTCGGGGATCAAAACAACACTGACTTGTCACTGCGGCGCCGAAAGAACAAACACACCCTGCAAACCAAGCCATCGAACACACACACACACTGGAAATCAGCACATTCGTGCGGGGTATGATTAATTCCCCAGACAGCTGAAAGCTGGCGCAGGTGCTGTTTGAGCTGCTGGTGGCGGTGTGGGCACATTTTTGTGAGATTGACGGCAGGGTGCTAGGGCAGTTTGGAGTGCTGGTGGCTGTTTGAGGTGCTGGTGACGGTGAGGACCTCTTACTTCTAACAAGGGGCAGTCTGTTTTGCGAATTCGGGCCAGGTTGGTGTGGCAGGTGTTGGTCAGGCTGCTGTTGATATTTCCCATGCCATCTGGGGTCTATGCTGGTGCATCATCCCACAAGCCTGTTGAGCTATGTTGAGCTATCCCTGTGCCTGGATTTAGGGGGTAGCTTGTTTGGGACAGTGAGGCTACCCCCAAAAGCTGAGGCGAGGGGGAGAGAGAAAAATGAATCAAAATGCAATTGCTTTGGAGCCAACCCCTTGCAACATTGAGCCCCGGATGCACCGATGTGCGAACAAGGGGCATCGTCGTCCACCTTCACAGGTGTGTCCTGCTGAGGCACCTCTGGACTCGAATCGCACTTTGCACTCGGCAAATGCGCTGTAGGGCTCAGGCCGGCCGGTGCTGAAGCGGCTCGGTGTTGACACCTTGCTTCACGTCGCTTCGCGTGAACAACTAGGGAACGGAGGCAAAAGGATCTCGTCACGGGATCAGCTGGATCACGTTGGCTGAGCGAACATGCAAAACTGAGGCCAAGTCCGATTTGTGGATAGGCTCCTGGGAGCAAACACAAGGAACAAGCTCAAGCTTAAGCGAAGCAAGTCGCGCAGATTTGCGTGTGGCAAAGCAAATGAGCCAAGTCTCCGAAGCCAGCCTTGCCACCTTTGCCCGTTGGATACCCCATGACCGACGCCCCGAACACACCAATAAAGAGTCCAAGGGGTCGATGAAAGCTTGACGGCTCACAGCTGCGGCAATCCATGTGTGCCGCATCGCAAGTGACCCACGCCCTCATTGAACCCAAGAAATCAATCGGCGTAAATTTGACTAAGTAAGCGAAATGCATGGCATGATATGACATGTGTGAACGTGCTGCCTGCGGCTTCACTGGCGAGCCCATCACGCTGCACCGTCAGCCGGCCATGGCCTCGATGCAAGCGGCTAGCGCACGGGACGGGTCGACGGGGCTTTCGGCACCGCATTGGCATTGGCAGTGCATCCGATGCTTTCGCTTTCTTCGCTTCCTTCGCTTCCTTCGCTGCCTTCGCTTTCGCGTTCACCGGTACAAACTGTACACTGACATAATAGTAACATGTTCAGGTGAGATGTTGCGGTCCATTGCCGCCAGAATGGCCATCCTGGAATCTGAGCACCATTCAGGGATTACGTACAACTAGCCTTCCAACAAACACTGAGGCGGCAGGCCGAACCAATGCGAAAGGCAGTTGAAACTCCCGGACATGTGCTCAAGTCTCACATCGTCTCAGGTGTAGGTTGCGGGGTCGATGGTGGGGGGGATGGGCTGGATCTCGGTGCCCAGCTCCTTCTCAATGCGGTAGAGGTTGAAGCGGTCATCGTAGGTCACAAAGTTGATCCCCAAGCCTAAGTGGCCAAAGCGACCCGAGCGACCGATGCGGTGCAAGTATGTCTCAGAGTTCTTGGGGAAGTCAAAGTTGATCACCACGTTCACGGACTGGATGTCGATGCCGCGGGTGAAAAGGTCGGAGGACACCAAACACCTGCAAGCTCCATTCCTAAAGTCATGGAAGACTCGATTTCTGTGGGACTGGTACATGCGGGAGTGGATGAAGAAGCACGAGTAGCCTAGCTCTGTGATCTTCTTCGCCAAGAGCTCCACGCGGGTAACAGAGTTGCAGAAAATGATGGCTTGGTTGATCTGCAACTTGGAGAACAGCGTGTTCAGGCAGTGAACCTTCTGACGCTCCTCCACAAAGGCGTAGAATTGCGAGACGCCTCTCAGGGTCAGCTCTTCCATCAAATTGATCTCGTGCGCGTCGGCCATAAACCGGTTTTTGAAGTCCAAGATGGTGATGGGAAAAGTTGCGGAGTACATCAGGATCTGCCTGTCAGGCGGCAGAAACTTGATAAGGTCTTCAATGATCGGCTGGAATTCGGGGCACAGGAGCTTGTCGGCTTCATCCATGGCAACCATGTGACATTGCTTCAGGTTGCAAACGTTCTTGTTTGCAAGGTCAAGCACGCGGCCAGGCGTGGCCACTACAATGTGAACCTCGTTGTAGAGCCGCATAATGTCCTCTCGAAGGCTTGTTCCGCCTGTTGAGACCATGCATTGGACGTTCATGTGCTTGCCTATCTCTTTCACCACTGAAGATGTCTGCAGAGCCAACTCCCTGGTCGGGACGAGGATCAGCCCCTGGATGGCATTCTTCGTGGTGTTGCACTTCTCGAGGATGGGGATCACAAAGGCCCCTGTTTTCCCAGTGCCATTCTTTGCTCTAGCAAGAATGGATTTGCCCGCCAAGGCAACCGGCAGGCTTTCTTCCTGGATCGGGGAAGGCTTCTCATAGCCCATTTCGAAGATACCCATCAGCAGCTCGCGCTTCCTCGGACCGTCACGCCCGTCGGCCCAGTCGGATCCAGTCGGGCCGACTCACATTCCACACATGCATGCCCATGCATGCATATCCATGCCCATGCCCATTTCCCTACGCATGCGCGGCATCAATACAGCCTAAGGCACAGGAAGTAGTCCTCAAAATCATTTCCCTTCGTGTTTGTGACATCCTCTGTCTTGAATCGTTGGTCTGGAGGAGGTCGCCGGATCTGGGCTTTCCAGTCCTTTGTTCGCAACATTTCGCAACCGCTCAACTTGTGATGATATTCGTCTGGGGGCATCGAGCAACACCTTTCGGGGATCAAAACAACACTGACTTGTCACTGCGGCGCCGAAAGAACAAACACACCCTGCAAACCAAGCCATCGAACACACACACACACTGGAAATCAGCACATTCGTGCGGGGTATGATTAATTCCCCAGACAGCTGAAAGCTGGCGCAGGTGCTGTTTGAGCTGCTGGTGGCGGTGTGGACACATTTTTGTGAGATTGACGGCAAGGTGCTAGGGGGCATGCAGTTTGGAGTGCTGGTGGCTGTTTGAGGTGCAGGTGACGGTGAGGACCTCTTACTTCTAACAAGGGGCAGTCTGTTTTGCGAATTCGGGCCAGGTTGGTGTGGCAGGTGTTGGTCAGGCTGCTGTTGATATTTCCCATGCTTTCCGAATTTATTTTGTTCTTTCTCTTTCTCTTGCTCTCTTTCTTTCTTTTTCTTTATATGAACTATTTCTTTATTTATTTTTTCTGTCTTGCTATTTCTTTCTTTCTGAATTTCTTTCTTTCTCGTTCTCTTTCTCTCTTTCTCTCTCTTTATTTATTATTTCTAGATATATTGTTTTATCTTTCTCTTTCTCTCTTTCCATCTCTCCTTCTTCTCTTTCTTTCTTTGTTTCTTTGTTTCTTTCTGTCTTTCTTTCTTTCTTTCTCTCTTTCTTTCTTTCTTCTTACTTCTATCTTTCTTTCGTTTTATTCATTGTTTTTGAATTTCTTTCTTTCTTTCTCTTTAACTCTCTTTCTTTCCTTCTTTCTCGTGATCTATTATTTCTTTCTTTCTTTCTCTTTGTCTTTCTCTTTCTGTCTTTCTTTCTTGTTAGTTCTTCTTTCTTTCTGAATTTATGTGTTTCGTTCTCTTTCTCTTTCTCTTTCTCTTTCTCTCTCGCTCTGCCACGAAATCTGTACTTGACCTTGCGTGGGCACAAAATGCTGCGCCTGCCACGAAATCTGTGTGCCTGCCACGCAAAATGGACCTTCGAAAATGTCTGCGCGCGCAATACAGTGGGCAACATGCCGTTCCCCGTGGCCCGTGGCGAGACCGCACGCAGAACAGACGTACCCTTCGCGATTTTTTGTGCTGACTTCACTGCTAAGTGCGTCCGGATCGTGTGATTCATTTTTTCGTATTATGGAAGTTTTCTTACTAACCTTCCTTGACGAGTTATATTTGGAATGAACGAATGATTTTGTGTTTAAAGGGGAATGTTTTACCAAGCAATGAAGTCGTACTGTCATAATAACAATCGTTAAGTTTATCTAATTTTGCGACAATGTACTAAAAACCAGCAAATAACATTTATGAAAAACACGCTTTTGACTTTCCGAACATAGACAGTTCGTGGGAATACCGAAAATAAAATAAAAATGGGAAACACATTTAGCGACTTAATTGAAACGTATTCAGGCCAACTCATAAAAGGATGTGAACATTATTGTTGTGAGTATGGTCTGAGTTGCTACGGTGATTCTTCCGCTGCTGAAACTGAATTTGGAGCGAACTAAAAAGTTGTTTCTTCGCATTATTTGATGATAATGTGATTAACTAGTATCTTAAAAATTAACAAGCAGGTTAAGGCATTTAAGCTAAACTTGAAACCCAGACGGCCCAACAAGCAACCCCCAGCCAGAATTCCTGAGAGAGAAAATACCTGAGAGAATTGAGTGAGCCTCGAATGTCAGAGAACCATGTTATGGTTGAGAATGGAACAACTTACCTGAGGGTTTAGTTTCAATCATCACTTCTTACACTCTTGGCTTTGAAAGGTGGCGTGGACTGCAACCATGTGACGCTTTAAGAGAATTGCAAAGGAAATGGAAACCTGCTGTTCATACCGAACTTACTTGAGAGGAGGCGAACGAAAGCTAGCAGAATCTCTTTGCACTGCACAGCAAAGGGCCATGGAAACAAGATCTACTTAAGAGGTGTCCAACAAGCTGGTTTTCATGCGCTCCCGTTGAAAGAAAGATTGCAGAGAAATGCTTTCGTTCTTGAGGTTCGAGACTAGAAGGGCTGTAGCAATCAAACTGCGTGGCCTTTGAGGTTAGAGATTAGCGGAACGCTTGACAGCGCAGAGGAGTCCGGTGTTCATAGAATCTTCTTTTTTATATACGTGTCCAACAAGCTGCGTTGGAAGCCCTTCCGAAAGAATGTCTGAACACCCCGTTCAATCAAAGGTTGTGGCCACCAAAATGCCTGCAAAGCTGATCGCCCGGCAACAGCGCGTTCCAGCCTGCGTACTCATACGGACCGTTCGCCACGCATATCTATAATCATCCACACTGTCGACACCAGAGACTTCCATACTACATCCGTCCAAAAATTGGCATTGCGTTCTCCTTGGCAAAGATCCAGGGAGCACAAAGAAAGCACTACCACGACTCAATTGTGGTAGCGGAGCAGGTTTTGCGCAGAGATCTTCCAAGATGTCATCCGCCTTCATGGAGGCATATTCAAGCGCAGGCCGACCATCCAGCTCCACTGAACAAACGCTCAACTTATCCATGGCCGCCAAGCAGCCGCCATCGCACGATGGAAATGTCAGCTGGGTCAGGTAGGATGCATCCAAGAGAGGACCTCCTCAAAAGCACTCCTCAACGAAAGGATTCAACGCCCCGATGAAGAATTGAATTATTGCAAGAACACGATGAAGAATTAATTGCTGAAGGGAACCACTAATGTGTATCTTGACAGGCTCCTCAGCTTCTTGAATCACAGAAGACAGAACACCAAGTTCCTCACATTCACGCCCCAGCTGGACATTTTCCTCAGGAGAGGCAGCCTGGACTACCTGACGCCAGCAGTCTATACAGCACAATCACCGCAACATCTTCCCTCCGTGCAAGAAGCAAATGCAAGAACCGTTGCCCGACATCAGCAAGCAGCCAACGTCAAGGCACGGCCTCCAACATTGCTAGAGAATCGAGCTCGCAACGCACGCCTGATGAAATCAGACCCTTTGCTGATCGACGGAGATTTTGACCCACTGCTCAGCAGAGCTGAGGTAAGCGAGACTCCGGCTTAGCTGCAAGGAGCTAGCTTTCGTAATTTTGAGGTTATGAAAGACCTGAAAAGACACTTAAGATATATGAGCACGAGACAGGATCTCCAGGCGTTTCTAAGGCTCCCCCAACTCCACTTGCAACTTCTCAAAAGTGTACTGTGTGTTGCTTAGGGGCTTGCCCCTGGCACCGGTCCACAACTGTAGTAGGCAGATCTTCGGCGGAGCAGGTTTTCTGAGAAAGTCTATGCAGCCCAGCGTGCTGCCCTCTAGGACGGAGCGACAGCCCTGTGCTTTTGTAGAACACTTTGTAGCCCTATATGTAGCTCTCCAGGGGTGAAAGCAGCTCTCGATGGAAGCCCTCATTGCCTCCGTCGCCCGCAACTCTTCGTGTGCTCCTTGACCCAAAAAATACAAGACACGCTTGGTTCGCGCTCCACTTGCTTGCAGGTTGGGTCCTGGATTTTCTGGAACATCTCATATCCATACTCCCTCTCTCCGTCATTTGACTGACAAATCTCTGTTGTTGTTGGTCTGTGATTCAGGAGTATGAAGACTTGGGCTATCGGTTGTCATTGCGCGCAAACGCGTCTCTCAATGTCGTGGAGTCATGTGGACCCACACAAGCGACGGGCGGCGCTCGGCCCAGCGGCTGGCTGGGCCTGTGCTGCTGTGCGTTTCTTGCACGTTCGTCTCGCGCTGCTTGCCACGGTGTGGGAAGTTCGCTGAAAGTGAGAAGTCGGTAGAGTTACACATCCGTAGCTTCATGCAAGAAATGCTGCTTGACCGTTCTTGAAGTAGGTCGGCCACTCCTTCGTCAGGGCCACGAGCCATTGTCTAGCAACTCACGGTATAAGCGCATCACCTCAGCCTTTTCTGAACCCAAGTTGGCGCGGGGGAACTCATCCATTCATCAATTCTCCTCGTGCCGAAGCCAGCTGACACGTCCGTCCCACAACGCCAGCAAATTAACTTGGCGGTCATTGATACATGGATTTGTACTTTTCAACATGAAAAGACTGAGCACTTTTTCGACTTTAGGCGTGGTCCATGCTACAAACGCAGAGCTGTCGACGGCCCTTTAAGGCTACCATCAGCGAGCACGCGCTGGGATTTGGGTCTACAGGAGACCGTCGTTTTCGAGCACTTTGTTTGCAGCCTTTTGCGCGAGACTTGGCCAGCCTTTTAGATTTCAGCTGCCCAGCTATGGACTTGGCGGACATTCGAGCCCAGCAAGCTGAGCCAAACAGGCCCTTGACGCACGCGTGTTTTCCGGTCATTTCGGGCCTCGCGCTGCTGCGCAGTTGCTAAGCGCCGCCAGAAACGTGTCAAGGGACATCTCAGGAGGATTTGTTTGCATACGAAAATGAAGATCAAAATAAGCCAAAAACGGTCAATCGCCGACGAGGTGGTTCTCGACCCTTCATCATGCGTATGTTGGTAAGAAGGTGGAAGCGGCTGGGGCAAGAAAGGAAAGTCAAAGTGCCCGCAGCAATGAGCAAGGAACAAGCGGAAAGAATAGCGACAAAGAAGAGTCCAACACATTCGCCGCCAACGCGGAACCAGAGCAGCCTCCTGCCACCTAGCAGCGAGCACAAGGATCATGGCGTCCGCGATTTTCCCGCTCCGGCCTACGCGGCAACCCAGCGATTCACTCAGGCAACCGGTTTGATGAAACACCTAATTTTCTCTGAAGGCTCAGGTGGTGTGAGCACGAACGCAATCCCAAAGCCGCCCGTTTAGTCTACTATCCGTGGCCGCTTTCCCGAGTGAAACCCAGAAACGGGCGAGCCTCTCACAAAACGATTTAAGTAGAAACAAGAAGAAGCTCGGGAAGCTCCCGGGAAGCTCCGGGGAGCCTCGGGAAGCGGCTTGCGCGTAGGAATTATCCCGGGCAGACGCTGTCTTCGTGGCCGCACGCATGTGGCTCTTTTTGGTGGCGTGTCCGGCGCTCGACGCTGGAACTTGTTGACCACAGGCGCCAAATTCTTCGCGTGTGACCTTGTCGCATTGAGGAGTATGTCCGTGCAAGTTCCGCGCTTGCCCAACACCCGGCAGTGCTCCAAAATGTCGATGTTGGATCTGGCCGAAGGAGTCGTGTGGCAAAAAAGCAGTGTTCAGTTGATCATCCCTCTCTGTCAGCAAGCGTAAATTTGGCATCTTGGGACGTACTCATAGAAAACGAGGTCTCTCTTGGCATCTGTTGGGGCTCGATTTTCGACGACGCCGTGTTCAGGCGACACCAAGAAAAGCATTGTTCACAACTATGCAGGCGAAGAGCTGTCCATTCAATCCTGATCCGATCAGCAGGGAACGCCCCGCACTGACGATGGATGCAGGACTTCCAACACAGCCGCCATCGATCCTTCTCGGCCGTTCCACACCCTCCTTTGGCCTTCATGCGTGTGGGAGTGTGGGCCTGCTCAGGCCCTCCTCAGCCTTCTCACCCACCAACAAGATCGGCTCAACCTCTTCAGTACTTGGGTTGGCGGTTCGGTTTTTGCGCTTCTGGCTCTTCCTCAACGCTCACTACGGCTGAGAGCCTCCCATGTGGGCCATCGCGGTCAAGCTCCGCAAAATGCGGAGTAACCTCCACGAGGGCTCCCAAATCCCGCTGCCAAAGCTAGTGTGGACAATTTTCCTCCCTTCAGTTCCTTCCCTCTGTTGAAATCACTACAAGCTTGTTTGAGAGCTATCCCGGCCTGAAGGGGTGAGTTGTTTGGGCCAAAAGCTTGACTGTGCGGGGGATCTGGCTGCAATTTTGTCCGCAGCCAGCCGTCCACGGCTGGCTGATTGGCTGGCCGGCCGAGACTGGCTGACGGGCCAAAGGTGGGCTGGGCTGGCTGATTGGCCGGCCGCCGGCCGGTCGGCCACTGTCTTATATTTTTGCATATCTTATCTATCTCATTGATTCCATCTATCAGGTTCGCCCTACCAACACTAAATGTTTTGTCTACATGTTTGTATTGAGTACGTCCTATCCTTGTTCATCCCATGTTACACCGTGACCTGTCTACTCCCATATTATCCTGTCTTAACCTATGAATCGATCTGTTCAAATATAAAGCCTATCGAGATACGATTGCAATGCTTCAGAGGCGAGGGGAAAGAGAGAAAAATGAATCAAAATGCAATTGCTTTGGAGCCAACCCCTTGCAACATTGAGCCGCGGATGCACCGATGTGCGAACAAGGGGCATCGTCGTCCACCTTCACAGGTGTGTCCTGCTGAGGCACCTCTGGACTCGAATCGCTCTTTGCACTCGGCAAATGCGCTGTAGGGCTCAGGCCGGCCGGTGCTGAAGCGGCTCGGTGTTGACACCTTGCTTCACGTCGCTTCGCGTGAACAACCAGGGAACGGAGGCAAAAGGATCTCGTCACGGGATCAGCTGGATCACGTTGGCTGAGCGAACATGCAAAACTGAGGCCAAGTCCGATTTGTGGATAGGCTCCTGGGAGCAAACACAAGGAACAAGCTCAAGCTTAAGCGAAGCAAGTCGCGCAGATTTGCGTGTGGCAAAGCAAATGAGCCAAGTCTCCGAAGCCAGCCTTGCCACCTTTGCCCGTTGGATACCCCATGACCGACGCCCCGAACACACCAATAAAGAGTCCAAGGGGTCGATGAAAGCTTGACGGCTCACAGCTGCGGCAATCCATGTGTGCCGCATCGCAAGTGACCCACGCCCTCATTGAACCCAAGAAATCAATCGGCGTAAATTTGACTAAGTAAGCGAAATGCATGGCATGTGTGAACGTGCTGCCTGCGGCTTCACCGGCGAGCCCATCACCTCAGTGCGCCACTGAGGAATCATTCCCAGTTTCGGAATCGTTTCCCAGTTTCCCAGTTCAAATCAGTCGAACTTGCCTGGTCCAAATCATTTCACCCCGAAGCGAGAGCGCACGTGCAACATGGGCAAGCCAGCAGCTGACCTCGTTGTGGTCTCCGCATTCGCCTCGAACTCGTTGGCTCCAAATGCAAACGAAAACGGACTCACACCAACTTAAGTGCATTGATACATCAAATGCTAAGTATATATAATGCTTAACTCACGCTGATGCTTCGCACGCATGCCTATGCCTCTCTTTTGCAACACTCTCGCTTCCCGCTCGCTTTCCCCATGGCCCCGAGCCGAGCCCCATCTCGCCTCTATCCAAAACACCCACAGAAAAGCACACTCGGCAATGCTTCTCAACAGAACATACGGACATCAAGTAAACTCAAGAAACCTCGAATCGAGAAGCCAAGAAATGCCTGAACTTCATGAAATACCTGCATGACTTTCAATAGCTCGTTCCGGCAGTGCATTCGCCTCGCCTCGCCGCCATCTTGAAACTTGCAATGCTCTCATAATTGTCATATCGCGTCGTCTCAGGTGTAGGTTGCGGGGTCGATGGTGGGGGGGATGGGCTGGATCTCGGTGCCCAGCTCCTTCTCAATGCGGTAGAGGTTGAAGCGGTCATCGTAGGTCACAAAGTTGATCCCCAAGCCTAAGTGGCCAAAGCGACCCGAGCGACCGATGCGGTGCAAGTATGTCTCAGAGTTCTTGGGGAAGTCAAAGTTGATCACCACGTTCACGGACTGGATGTCGATGCCGCGGGTGAAAAGGTCGGAGGACACCAAACACCTGCAAGCTCCATTCCTAAAGTCATGGAAGACTCGATTTCTGTGGGACTGGTACATGCGGGAGTGGATGAAGAAGCACGAGTAGCCTAGCTCTGTGATCTTCTTCGCCAAGAGCTCCACGCGGGTAACAGAGTTGCAGAAAATGATGGCTTGGTTGATCTGCAACTTGGAGAACAGCGTGTTCAGGCAGTGAACCTTCTGACGCTCCTCCACAAAGGCGTAGAATTGCGAGACGCCTCTCAGGGTCAGCTCTTCCATCAAATTGATCTCGTGCGCGTCGGCCATAAACCGGTTTTTGAAGTCCAAGATGGTGATGGGAAAAGTTGCGGAGTACATCAGGATCTGCCTGTCAGGCGGCAGAAACTTGATAAGGTCTTCAATGATCGGCTGGAATTCGGGGCACAGGAGCTTGTCGGCTTCATCCATGGCAACCATGTGACATTGCTTCAGGTTGCAAACGTTCTTGTTTGCAAGGTCAAGCACGCGGCCAGGCGTGGCCACTACAATGTGAACCTCGTTGTAGAGCCGCATAATGTCCTCTCGAAGGCTTGTTCCGCCTGTTGAGACCATGCATTGGACGTTCATGTGCTTGCCTATCTCTTTCACCACTGAAGATGTCTGCAGAGCCAACTCCCTGGTCGGGACGAGGATCAGCCCCTGGATGGCATTCTTCGTGGTGTTGCACTTCTCGAGGATGGGGATCACAAAGGCCCCTGTTTTCCCAGTGCCATTCTTTGCTCTAGCAAGAATGGATTTGCCCGCCAAGGCAACCGGCAGGCTTTCTTCCTGGATCGGGGAAGGCTTCTCATAGCCCATTTCGAAGATACCCATCAGCAGCTCGCGCTTCCTCGGACCGTCACGCCCGTCGGCCCAGTCGGATCCAGTCGGGCCGACTCACATTCCACACATGCATGCCCATGCATGCATATCCATGCCCATGCCCATTTCCCTACGCATGCGCGGCATCAATACAGCCTAAGGCACAGGAAGTAGTCCTCAAAATCATTTCCCTTCGTGTTTGTGACATCCTCTGTCTTGAATCGTTGGTCTGGAGGAGGTCGCCGGATCTGGGCTTTCCAGTCCTTTGTTCGCAACATTTCGCAACCGCTCAACTTGTGATGATATTCGTCTGGGGGCATCGAGCAACACCTTTCGGGGATCAAAACAACACTGACTTGTCACTGCGGCGCCGAAAGAACAAACACACCCTGCAAACCAAGCCATCGAACACACACACACACTGGAAATCAGCACATTCGTGCGGGGTATGATTAATTCCCCAGACAGCTGAAAGCTGGCGCAGGTGCTGTTTGAGCTGCTGGTGGCGGTGTGGGCACATTTTTGTGAGATTGACGGCAGGGTGCTAGGGCAGTTTGGAGTGCTGGTGGCTGTTTGAGGTGCTGGTGACGGTGAGGACCTCTTACTTCTAACAAGGGGCTTTGCGAATTCGGGCCAGGTTGGTGTCGCAGGTGTTGGTCAGAGTGCTGTTGATATTTCCCATGCCATCTGGGGTCTATGCTGGTGCATCATCCCACAAGCCTGTTGAGCTATGTTGAGCTATCCCCGTGCCTGGATTTAGGGGGTAGCTTGTTTGGGACAGTGAGGCTACCCCCAAAAGCTGAGGCGAGGGGGAGAGAGAAAAATGAATCAAAATGCAATTGCTTTGGAGCCAACCCCTTGCAACATTGAGCCGCGGATGCACCGATGTGCGAACAAGGGGCATCGTCGTCCACCTTCACAGGTGTGTCCTGCTGAGGCACCTCTGGACTCGAATCGCACTTTGCACTCGGCAAATGCGCTGTAGGGCTCAGGCCGGCCGGTGCTGAAGCGGCTCGGTGTTGACACCTTGCTTCACGTCGCTTCGCGTGAACAACCAGGGAACGGAGGCAAAAGGATCTCGTCACGGGATCAGCTGGATCACGTTGGCTGAGCGAACATGCGAAACTGAGGCCAAGTCCGATTTGTGGATAGGCTCCTGGGAGCAAACACAAGGAACAAGCTCAAGCTTAAGCGAAGCAAGTCGCGCAGACTTGCGTGTGGCAAAGCAAATGAGCCAAGTCTCCGAAGCCAGCCTTGCCACCTTTGCCCGTTGGATACCCCATGACCGACGCCCCGAACACACCAATAAAGAGTCCAAGGGGTCGATGAAAGCTTGACGGCTCACAGCTGCGGCAAGTGACGCCCTTCACATTGAACTTTGGACATGTTTCGAGAAATATGATAAGCTCTGCATATGCAGAGGCATATGCCCTGCCCTGCATATGCTCTGTCGGTTGGGCAGGGCCCGCGGCCTTGTGAATCCGCATGATTGAACACCTTGTGCATCATTCACGGCCTCCTTTAAGCGCCGCCCCCTGACATCCGACAGTGCTGCAAGCTTAACTCCACATCCATTCGCCGGAGTCCACACACTTCTTAAAAAAGTGAAAAATTTGGAGAAACTTCCGAGGTACGGTGACGAGCTGAATAGACAGAAAACAAGAAAAGAACAAAAAACACACGGAAAGACTGCGCACACGGCCGGGAAAAGGGTTATCTGAAAATTGCAGCCCTCTGCGGGTTTCAGCTTCTTCGGAAGCTCGAAGGTTAGCCTGATCGTGACGCCTGGTTGGAGCGATCTCGAATCGCGCTCGGAGAGCATTCAAAGCGATCGTGGGGCAGTCGCGGTAGCAACTCAAATGACAGGCGCAGCACTTTGTCAAGGTACAAATTTTCGTGGCAACGCCGCGCTTTGACAAGGTGAGGTCCAGATTTCGTGGCACTCGCCACAGAGAAAAAAGATCAAAGAAGAAAGAAAGAAGGAAAGAAGGAAAGAAAGAAAGAAAGAAAGAAAGAAAGAAAGAAAGAAAGAAAGAAATAAGACAAACAGACAGACAGACGCACGGACGGACAGACAAACACACAGAAAGAAAGGAGAGAAAATAAAAAAGAACAGAAGAAACTAGAAGATGGGCGGCGCGAAAGCGTTGGCATTGTGCGGCGGCCAGTTGTCCTAGCAAGTTCTCTGCGCAAGTTCCTCTGTACGGCCAGGTGTTGCCCGGGCGTTTTACACGCGGCGTTTTTGGCCGAAGGCTCAGGGTTGCCGTCACACCTTCACACTGGCTTGTCCGTGAGTGACGTCTGGCGCTCCCCTTCCAATTTGCCTTCCGTTCCTATGCCTGCCTGCGCCCGTTCCCCCCCCCCTCTCCCCCTTACTGCTTGCTTGCTTGTAGGCATGTCTGTATGTTTGTTTGCTTGTTTCTTGTTTGCTGTCATTTCGGCCGTCGGCCTTCCCGCCAACCTTGAGGCACCCGGCATGTGCCTGGATGCGCACCTGGCCACAGCCTTGCCGATCCTTATTCCCAAGGCGCACCCGTTCCTACCTGCCCCCTCGGCGGACTTCCGGTTTTCCTTGCCGTGTTCCTTGTCTGTCGTTTCCTTCTTTCCCGCCTCTTTTTCTGAGAAGGCGAGGGGTTTCTTTGACATTCCCAACAACAGTGGTTGTGTTGCCCTGGAATCGCTGACCTCTTGCGAGCTCGATTATTTTGCGTGTCGTTTCATCCCCCGAACCCCGCCGTTGCGTTCACGCAGCATGCCAGCTCATTCTTACTTATATTCATTGATTTTTGTGACAGTCTAAGACTGTGAATACTATCTGGACATGAGCATCGGAGAAATGAAGCAGTGGGTGCCAGCGTTCCGACAAACGGTAGCGCTTTCCACGCATATGTGCCCAATACTCGGCAAGGGTATTGATGAAAGGGATGCCCGAAAGAATGCGCGTAACCGTGCAATCATCCATGTAGAATGACGCAATACCAGCGGCGCCCCCCAGAGCGAACACATCGGCACTGCCGAACCCGGTTGTCAGTGTGGAAGAGCGGCGCGTCAGCTCTTTGCCCACTCAATCCCAAAGCTCCCCATTTGCCCGGAGTGGTCCATTTTGCCGCTTGTCCGAATATCTGCTTGGAAAATAAAATATATGTAAACAAGGAATGGAATACGGGCGGATTACTATGGTGGATGGGAGAGAGAACTGGTAAGGAGACCGCAGGCGCTCAAGCGCCTACGGCCTTCTGTCGGTGCGATTGTGCGCGGAAATCGGGGCCGCGTAAATGACTTTGGTACGTGTCACAGACGTCCGAACGGTCTCGGACATCGCACATCCCGTCGCCAAGGAGGTAGTTATTCCCTTGGCGTCCTTGCCTTTGCCTTTCCCCTTCTGTTTGCCCTTGTTGCCCTTGCCTTTGCATTTGCCCGATGATCCGGAAGAGGGCTCAGCATTTAGGTCAGCCGGACCTACGGACCTGGGGTTTTCGGGTTCTGCTGAAGAGGGTCTGATCACCTTGAAAGATTGGCTTCGGTCCTCCCGCTGAATTGACTGGGATTCAGCTTCTTCAACCCATCCCGTCTTCTTCTTTTGTTTCACTTCATAGTTGGGCTGGATTGTCGCTTCCCCGTCAGCCAATGGGACTCTGGTCTGGATGGTAACGGCCTGCTCCTTCAACCTGTTGTAATTGTTCCACTGATCTCGAAACACAGGACTGAATGGCGTCCCATGATAGTTCATGAAAAAATCCTGTATGGTCGTTTTGTTGCCCACAGCGTCGCACAACCAATCGAAAGGTGCACAGCCAATCGAAAGTAAATATTGGGTCGAGATTTAATTTGGGAAGTTTGTTGTTTTATTTTGGGATTTTTTTGCTTTCCGTCCAGGCTACTAAAATGCTGTAATTTACGGCTCTTTCTCGCGACATGTCCGCATTTTACGCTAGTCCGTCAACATCATCAGCATCGTTTTCAACATCCCCGCATGTCCAGCCAACATCCCCAGCATCACCAGCAAATGGCTTCCTGCATCTTCAGCATCATCAGTTCCTCTGCGGCAAGGTAGGTAGGCATTATGTACGCATGCTAAAAAGAGGGGCGGGTACCCCTCATGATTGTAAAAGTGAGGATTCAAATACGTGCAAACTAATCCCTGTAAACCACCTACAACATGGCGAGGGGGGGGTTGAGGGGTGAGGTTTTCTCATGATGATTGAAAAAGGGATGATTCAAATAGGGTTGCATTTTAATCTCTGCAACAATCCAAAAAGTAGGAGGGGCGGGGGGCTTACACATGTTGTTTGACCTCTTGTTTCTTACACATGTTGTTTGACAGTGGCAAAGCCTGTGAATGCTCTTGTATCTTACACATGTTGTTTGACAGTGGCAAAGCCTGTGAATGCTCTTGTATCTTACACATGTTGTTTGACAGTGGAAAAGACTGTGAATGCTCTTGTTTCTTACACATGTTGTTTGACAGTGGCAAAACCTGTGAATGCTCTTGTTTCTTACACATGTTATTTGACAGTGGAAAAGCTTGTGAATGCTCTTGTTTCTTACACATGTTGTTTGACAGTGGCAAAGCCTGTGAATGCTCTTGTTTCTTACACATGTGTGGTTGACAGCGGCAAAGCCTGTGAATGCTCTTGTTTCTTACACATGTTATTTGACACGGCAGCCCCCGCATGGCGATCAAAAAGCTGATGATTCAAGAATGGGCAAAAAGTCTTTAAAGCAGCAGGGGGGGTTGCCCCCCCCCATGATGATCAAAATTTTGATGATTCAATTAGCGGCAAATTTTAAATTTCTTTTTAAAGAAAAACAGCGGGGGGGTTGGGGGGGCGGCGGCAGCCCCCCCAAGATGAGCGAAAAAGTGATGATTCAATTGAGAAAATATATATAAACAAGCAGCGGGGGGGGCCGGGGGGGGGGGGGGCAGGCCCCCCCATGATGATCGAAACAGTGATTCAATTGGAGGCAAAGAATCTAAAAGCGGGGGGTTGGGGGGGGGGGGGGGCGGCTGATGGAAAAAGTGATGCTTCAATTAGGGGCAAAAAATATATATATATATATATATCTATAAAAGCAGCGGGGGATTGTGGGGGGCTTTCCAAGCAAGATGAGCGAAAAAGTGATGATTCAATTAGTAACAGAAATTCTAAAAAGCAGCAGGGGGGTGGGGTGAGACTCACCCCACTGCCGGGGGCACCGTATCCCAGAAAAGAACAGGTACGTTGTGGTAGTAGAGAATGTATGTGGTGGTCCCTGGATCTATTCTGCAAGAGAGTCCAATATGCTAATAGTGGAGGAACTGAGAATGGATCCCTGGTCCTGTTCCTGTAAGGCGCTCTGCTGCTCTCCTTTTGTAATGGCTGCAGAATGAGTACTGCGTAACCTATGATACAAGAGGGGGCCTTGAGCCAAAATGACAATGGATGTTCCAGGGCCAACATGCGAAGCAAAAGCAACACAAAACAGACACAATTTCTTTTGACCCTGAACACCAAAATTGTATTCTTGGCTCCTTGGCCTTTAGCCGTAGCCATTGGATATGGTGCGCTTGCCGTAGCCATATTTACATTGAATCATCCTGTTTCTGGCGCGGATGAACTGTCTTGTTGGCAAAATGGAAAATGCTTGTTCTGGTTGGATGGGATACCTAACTGTATCTAATTCGGAAATGTGCAAGACACTTTGTACACGCGGGATGGTGTACTATTTGATCACTCACCGGCATATTCTCGATGTGCAGGAGGATCAATTGATTGGAATTCGTAGTGTGGGTTCCGTGTGAATGCTCCCAGCGTGGATTCTGATAGCTTCTCGCCGCTGTCGGATTGGCTTCCATAACCTCCGCCATAATCCCCCCATCCCTGATAGCCAGAGCGCTTCCATCCTTGCTTGTAGGATTGGTCCCATGACTTCCATTAGCGTCTCAATGTTGATGTCCTTCTAGCGCTCGGCGGATGTGACCTTGTAGTCGGAGATGGCCTTGTCAACATCGTCTGTCATGGATTCCAACGTCCCTCGAGTTTGGCAATGTCGGAATGACGAAATTATTGTTGGATGTTGGTCTTTCCCCAACTGAATACGAAGGTCATCATGCAATCTGGAAACATCCGGTCGTATCCTGAACCTGTCTTCGTATGAAGATGGTGGCGAGCAATGGGTTTGATTGTGCATGAAGTAGACATGGAAAAATCCATTCGGTCCGCCAACGACATGTCTTGTGTCTCATTCCAAGTTCTCTTGAACTTCTCCATGATGTAGATTGAGATACAACATTCTCAACATTGCTGATTTGAAAAATGCACTTGACAATATGCCAAAAGACATTGAACTTCAAACTGAAAACTCACCATTGAGACATTCAGGATTGAGAACTTACAAAGTTACTTTAACAAAACATCCACTACGACAAATACAGTCCAAACAGGGCAGGTAAATAAATGGAACTACCAGAATGGATTTCAAAGAAAAGGGCGCGTGTCAACATTCAAAACGATGATGCATTATGTTTTAAACATTGTTTTTATGAAAATTTGAA